CCCCTCCCATCCCCGGTCCCCCTTCATCTCCCTCCCTCCTCCCTGTGGCCCATCACTCATCCTCACCTGTCCCTCCTCCTCATATCCCTCCCTCCTCTCCATTTTCGTACCTCCTGAATCCTTCGTCCCTCCTCCTCGTCTTCGCTCCCCTTCCTCATTGCCATCATCTTCCGCCCTTCCTCATCCCTGTCCCTCCTCCTCGTCCCTGTTCTGTCTGCTCATTCTCCGTCCCTCCTCCTTGTCCACGTCCCTCCTCACCCTCCGCCCTCCCTCGTCCCTGTCCCTCGGCTCCCTCACCTCCTGTGTGTTCTGGACCCTGAGAAGAGGGTCTAGAGCCACCTGTGCTGCTGCTCACCTCACGCTCTCTCTGTGTCTTGGCCTGGGCTCCCGTTAGAGCCTGTTGTAAGGTGGATATGACTTATTTATTTAACTAGTGCATTTTAGTCACATGTGATGGTGGGGCCCGCCTTGGCCACCGTGACGGTGGGGCCCACTTGCACATACTCATGAATGCACAAAGTCCTCGGTCCAGTGCCCCCCCACTGTGCCCTCCTCCCTCCCCGTCCCCGTCCTCTGCTCCACAGCACCTTTGCTGACCTCCACCATCTTCCCCATCAGGGACACCTGGACCTGGTCTTGAGAGCCGGTTGTTTCTCAGGCTGTGTTGCTGGCTTTGCTTCTCCCTGGTCCCTTCGGCCGTGCCTGGCCTCCCCTTCTTAGAGGCATGCCGGCTCAGCCTCCATACCCAGCTCTTTCCACCCTTGAGGGCTCAGAGCCACCCAGGAGCCAGCACAGCTGGTGAGAGGCTGTGGACCAACTGCCTGGCCTTGGAGTCTCACAGGGTGGCAGCTGGCTCCTTCCATGAGGGGACCGGGGAGCGACTCCTGCAGTCACGGCCAGGAGAGTCCTGTTTAAACAGCACGACCGCCCTCTAACCTGGTGCTGTTACCCCAAGAGCCCACTCTGCCCCCTTCTGAGGGGTGAGTCCGCTTCTCACCTGTTCACTCTTGTGCCCATCCCACCCTATGGCTTTGGCACTATGAGGGATAGGGTCACTTTAAGAGTAATCCTGTGCTTTCAAAGAGCCAGGCTCTGTTCCAGGTGCTTTACGTGTGTGGAGCCATTGCCTCCCAAAGGCCACCTGTGTGCAGGTGATATCACCCCATTTGCAGATGAGAAGACCGCCAGGTAGAGCTGAGGCACAGGGACCAGAGCACAAGGATCTGGCCCGCCAGTCCAGCCCCGCCCTGAGCGTGCTCTGGCTCTGCCAGAAGCTCAGTGCACACTGAGTAAATACCCACAAGCAAATTGGCTTGAAGATGGTCTTTCTGAGTGGCGTGCCGTATGAACACGGGTCTCAGGCAGGGTTCCCAGTCTCGCCTCTTCTCTGTGATGTGAGAGAAAGATGGCCCCAGCACACACCCCCACCACCACCCAACGCAAAGGGAGTAAGTACTTCAGCGCAGCAAAGCCACCCCTAAAGACCAACCCAGGCAGAAGCCTCTACTCATCACTGGTTTTTAAGGCTGAATCTTATTTTGAAAATTAGATTGTTTCAAGTTTTTAGATCTGTTTATCAGTTAGGAATACCAGAAAGTGACAGGCACACACCCCTATGGTGGAAGTGAACAGTCACGTCCCGTGGTAGTGACGTAAGGGGCCCAATAGCAGGTGGCCTTGTGGGAAGCCCTGAGCAGGTGGTGATGTAAGGGGTGCAGCCCTCCTCCAGCCCGCCCTTAGGTTTGAGTGGCTCCGCACTGCCCCTCTCTGGGCTCTGACAGGGAACAAACACCCTCTGGACCCTGCCACCTGTCACCAGGACTCAAATCAGTTCTCTCTAGGACCTGGAGGATCCCCATCTGCTGGTGTTTCCCGCATTTTCTCCACCAGCTCCACACTGTGTCACCGGGAGGCGCCTGGCCAGGGATGGACCTGTGAAGGCCAGCAGGAGTACTGAATGTCCCGCACAGCCCACACGTGCACTCATAGTGCCCCATCCCAGGTCCAGGGAAGTCCCCCATATGGGCTTCAGAAGGGACTGGGAGCTCCATGTGTCACTGAATCCACCCCAGAGGTCCTGGCTCACTGAGAAACACTGGCTTGTTATCTGCTCTCCTTTGCTTAGAAAGTCAAGGAGGGTGAAACATATTTTAGATTAAAAAAAAATTCACAAATCATTTTAAGTGTTTTACTCTGCAAAACATAAAGGCTAAAAGTTCACACATCTGAAAAAAATGCTGTTTCCCTAATAACACTGGACAGGTCAAGTACAGTTCATGTTTTATTAAGAGATGGTTTATTGACACCCTGCAAATAACAACCCGTTAATCAAAGAACTAATCCAGAACTCGTTTTGCTTTGCTTCTCCCCAAATCTGGGTAGAGAAGCATCCAAAGCAAAACCACCCAAGACCAAAAGCTGTGACCAAACAATCATGGGTGGCCTCAGCCTGCGGGGAGTGTTCCTGTCAGCTATGACTCTGGCAGTGGCTATTGTCACAAGAAGACCGAGGCACGAATCCTGTCTCCCCTTCCATCAAGAAGGCCATCGTGGAGGGATAGGCCCCCAAAAGGAACCCTGACTCAGCCCGGGACATCCAAAGGCAGAGTGCTAAAAAGCCCAGGGTCCCATCTGGCAGTGTCTGTGTTGTCAGAACTAGTCCCCATCTCTATGGAGACCTTTTCATTTCTAGTAAAATCTTCGTATGTTTATGGGTTTGTTTCTTCTGTTAATTTCTAGCTCAGAAAAAGTAATGCATGTTCATTTATTTCTTGCCAGCCAGGATATTCTAGCAAGAAATGCTAAGTTTTAGAATTGATTTGGTATCTGCATTACAATTTCTGTGGCCATACCATGATCCATCCCTTCCGTGGAAAAGCAGAGGCATTTTGAACACCAAGTGGTAGGCCGAGAATGTGGCTGTGTGTGAGAAATGTGACCCACACGATGATGGTGGTAGCAGGTGCAGTTATGGTGGCGCTGATTGCAGGAGAGTGCCCCCACGTAGGCCGCGAGAAGGAAAGGTGCAGCCAGAGCCGCTGGCGTGCTCTGAAACGGCTCTCGTGGGCAACCCATGGAGCTGCGTTCTTTCCCTTCTTCAAACAGAAACTCCCCGCTCTGTGCCCGTCTGCTCTCCTGTTGCCCCGTGTCCTTTGGTTCTTTCCAGATCCTACTTGGACATGTCCAAGGTCATCATCTTCAGCTACCTCTTCTGGTTCGTGCTGACGATCATCTTCATTACTGGGACAACCAGGATCAGTATATTTTGTATGGGTTACCTGGTGGCCTGTTTCTACTTCCTGCTCTTCGGGGGCGATTTGCTACTGAAACCCATCAAGAGCATCCTGCGCTACTGGGACTGGCTGATCGCCTACAACGTTTTTGTGATCACCATGAAGAATATACTGTCGGTAAGTGCCTCCCAACACAGCACAGATGCGGCTTCCACGTGAGAGAGGATCAGCACTCGGCGGCTATCAGGAGCCCCGAGCCTCTCATACAGCTCTCAAAAGCCCCAAACAAGACGCTGCCCATTCAGGATCCCAAGGACCATTATGACTGTGCTTTGCCAAATTCAGCAGAACACATTTTGCTCTTTTCCACGGTTTCAAGGTCACGTGGTGAAAGGATTGTATTCACTGGAAAAATTCTAGGATGTGTTTTATTAACTTAAGTCCCGTTCCTTCTGAGGAACCATCTTATCACTCAAGTCTGTGCTTGAAGGGGCCTTTGGTGGCTCCACGGGAAGCCATGAATTGGTTTTGGTGATTGCGGTACTAGGGATTAAACCCAGGGCTGCTCTACCACTGAGTCCCATTCCCTGCTCTTTCTCTTCTTCTTTTCTTTTATTTTGAGACAGGTTCTCACTAAGTTAGGGTCCCACTAAGTTGCAGAGGCTGACCTCAAACTTGCAATCCTCCTGCCTCAGCCTCCTGAGTCCCTGCAATTACAGGAGTTCACCACCATGCCCAGTTTGTTGAAGATTTTCAGTCATATCATATTCACAAAAATACAACTCTCTTACTCGCAAAGAACTGTAGAGGTGTAAAGTGAAATGAAATGAGCATAATTCTCGAGAACACTTTGTGTTCTCGGTGGAATGGAGACAGGATGCAAGAAATCCTTGCGTGCCAGAGATGGAGAGACCCAGGAGAGAGTGCAGCCTGCGGCAGCCTCTGACTGTCAACATCTGATTAGGGCTTGGCTGAACCATGCGGACCGAGGAACAGCACCCGCTCGCTCTGCTGTTACATAGCTGAGGTCCTTTGGGCCTAACTGTTCTCCTAACGTGACAGATACCTCACACTGCCTGCCAGGGATTCCAGAAATCCACCTTTTAGGCCACGAGGACGCCATTTAAGTTACTCAGTGCTGTAGGAAGTTAACCAGCAAACCTTCACAAGCTGAAGCAGTTTCTGCCTCTCCCGCCAGCCTCCACGTCAGGCCGTGCCTGCTCCTCTCGGCTGTGCCTGGTGGAGCAGGCGAAGGGCACTGGTGGAGGGACTCCGCTCTTCTTCTCTGCTAGCTGCTTAGGGCTCAGTTCACCACAGCACTGATCTGTGAGGGCTGTTGGATTATTTTTTTTTTATGTGTGTATCGCTGTGTTTCAGAGCTGAGAAAGCCTAGTCTGTGGGTGATGAGTATTTGAATAACTTATTTTGCCTACCATTCGTTGAAAGATGAATTCTCTAGTTGAGGGTGAAAGTGCCTTTAAATCAATGCCTTTGCCCACTAGCATGGACTCATGCTTGGAGTAGCACAGGGAGTCACTGCGGAGCATAGACCAGACTAGACAAGGCTGTCCCATCCTGAAGCCACTCCATGGAGAGGGATCCACCTCTGGAGTATGATCTCATAGCTATGCCTGGAAAATGTGTGGATACGGCATCAGTCCTTCCGTCCACCCATCTGTCCTCTATCCATCCATTCGTTCATTCTTCTTCATTCTGTAAACCTATTCTTTATAGAGCACTATGTTACATCTTAAAGAATTGGAGATAAATAGTGCTCTTATTTGACTCTCAAGAAGCTCACATTCTGGAAGGAAATATGGATCTACAAATAATAATAATACAATTGTTAACGATGTGGTTATAACCTTGCAGGAAAATAAGGCAAAAACTAAAGGAAGCCTAATATCTTGCTTGGGAGTCAGGGAGAGGCTTCGTGGAGGCAATGCCATTTCAACCTCTGAGACTCAGACAACGGATTGGGGTGGAGTTACAAAGGGGAAGGGCATCCCCTGCCTGGAGTGGGCAGCGTAGTTTGGAAGATGGTGGGAAGTCGTTCTCAGGGCTGAGGATCCCATGGAAACCCCAGTATTCTCCCACTCCCATATCCCCAGGACACACAGCTCAGCCACACCTGGGGTGTTGGCTGAACCTCCCCACCATCCTCAGGATTGAGCACAGCACACCTGTAACAAGAAATCCATTATTACGAGACAACCATGTCCCAACAATCAACAAAAAAGATTTCTTCACCCAGAGAACCGCCCAATGTCTCAGATCACATACTTTCATTCCTTGGTACCCCTCGGGATTGGGTCAGAGCCACCAGTGGGTATGGAAGTCCTCAGCTGTTCAGGTCCCGTCTATACAATGGTGCAGTGTGTCCACACACCCCTGCTTGTCTTCCCGAAGCTAAGTCCTCCCAGGATCACTTAGGACACCTAACATGTGTGACACTGTGCACAGTTGTGGTGCTATACTGCCTAGGAGGTGGTGTCAAGGAGGAGGTCAGCTCGAGTTCAGTAAGGAGCATTTCTGTCATTGCGATGATTTCTGTCCACACTATCAGGGTCCTTGGCTGAGGCTCCCGTGGGTGAGGGCGGATGGCCTGTTCCTGCAGCTGTGTCTGGGATGGTTCCTGGGAACACAGAATCAAAACCGGGGCCCAGTGTGCACCCATTCACAGAGCTGGGGCTTATTCCCACTACAGCCCAGGTTTCCTCTCAACAAGAGGTGCTTCCACGTGCAGCAGCGCTGCTCCGAAGACCCTGGCTGTGTGCGTGGGTCTGATTTGCCTGGGGACTTCCAGTGCTCCAGGAGCTGCCATTGCAGGCCGCGTGGTGTCTGAGTTTGGGTCCCACATGTGCCATCTTGATCTCTGGCACCAGGCCCTTGTGAGTTCTTGCACCTGTTGGGATCACGAGACCCCAGCTTGTTTTCAGGGTGCAGTTTCAGACTCTGCCTCTGTCTGTTTTTCAGATAGGCGCGTGTGGATACATTGGAACGTTGGTTAAGAAGAGTTGCTGGTTGATCCAGGCCTTCAGCCTGGCCTGCACCGTCAAGGGCTACACCATGCGTAAGTACAAGAGGCGTATGTGTAGTGGACGTCAGAAAGGAGGGACGTGGAGCAGGACTGCTCTGACTTAGAAACTGGGCCCAGGCACACAAAGAGAAGAGTCCAAAGTGGAGGTCGATGGTGCCCTGTGTGGAGGCAATGGAAAGGGAGCGCGCTGTGGACCTGCGGGCCATGGCATGAGGTGCCTTCGCTCCAGGCACCTTGGGTCACTTCCTAGACACTGCCCACCCAGCAGGTCTGGAGATTGGGTGCAGTGCTGTTGTGACTCCCTGGACTCCTCTGAGCTACCTAAGATAGGGAAGGACTCCAGGGCCCACCCAAAACTGGAGTTGCTCTGGTTAGACTCGGGGTCTCAAGGTGATGAGACTTCCAGAACTTTCTCTCCTCAAGAAGTTCAGGGATCTGTAAATGCAAACCATTGGGAGGGCCCTGGGATTTCTGGAACTAGACCTGCACACAGACTAAGGGACATGCTGTCCCCACCACCCTGCCCCTTGCAACAGAGCCCAGGGCTGTGTCACATGGTTGTGGGCTGATCACTCAGGAAACACTCTCAGTCTGAATTTTGTCCAAATTAGAAGGTCTTCTATTTAGTCAGCTGGGACTGCTCCCTGCAGGACCCGAATTGTCTTTGCTAGGACCAGTATCGGTTCTGAGTTCTGTGGGGTTTATAAGGGGAAAAACCACATCCTCAAAAACATAGGTGCAGGCAAGCAAGTACGATGCCAGGGCTAAGAAAGCAGTCAGCAGAGCAAAACAGACAGCATCCTGGATTCAAGCACATTTGTGGGCATCTGAAGTACAGAAAAACAGTCCGTAACATCTTAGAAACAGCTTAACATTATTTATTCTATAACACTTGTCACATGATCCTATTATCCTACTTATTAATATTCCATAACCTATACTCTATAATTTATAATCTATATTGATTAAGCTCAGACCATGACAACATGGGGGTCTTCTGTGGGCCAGGATGGGGGCCGCTTGTATCCAAGCCTCCCGCACCGTGGCTGGTGGGTCAGGCTGCACTTTGCAGTTGAGTACCACAAGGGATGGTCTTCGACTGAGGATCCAGGGTGCTGCTCACTCCAACTCCTCTAAAGACCAACCGTGTCCCTTGGCATGGCTTCACCCCACAGAGCCTGTGGTAGGACAGCTGTGTTGTTGAACAGAGTTTTTCCTCTGTCACTGCACATTACTCCCCATGGCCCTCGTTGGGGGTCCCTAAGGGAGAGACAGGCACAGGGGCCTCTCTGCCGAAGGTCAAGAGACCCTGTGTCATAGCCCAACGAGTTCACACTGATGCTAGATTTGAAGTGTGCGCGTCATTTGTAATGGGTCACCCTGTAAGTAGCGCATGAGAACGCTGCTCTTGGGCCTCTGTGATCCCTGCACTCAGGCAGCCCACAGGGTGACTATGGGAGGGAAGTCGGCTCCAGCAGGTTTTCCTCTTGTCACACAGCCGAGGATGACGCCTCCTGTAGACTGCCCAGCGGGGAGGCCGGGATCATCTGGGACAGCATCTGCTTTGCCTTCCTCCTGCTGCAGAGACGCGTGTTCATGAGCTACTATTTCCTGCACGTTGTGGCCGACATCAAAGCTTCCCAGATCCTAGCTTCCAGGTGGGTCCGGCCACAGAAGCACGTGGCTGCTCTCCTAGAAAGTGTGCTGAGTAGCACCCACCTGCTTTCTGTCTGAGCCTGCCCGGAGAAACCACAGAAACTGAGACATCCTCTCCAGGAAAGCAAGGAAAATCTAGCCCAGGCCGTTAAGACCCACATGGTGTAGAAACACGGAGTCTGATGAGAGTGACATTCCCAGGACTTGGGCCCTGCAGAAGCTCAGAGGGGCCTGGGCTGATTGAAGCCTGCCACACACCCTCCCTGGGGCAGGGCCAGTGCTGGTTCTGAGCCTCCGTCTTTCCCCTCCCTACCTCTTCTTTATGAAGAAACTCTCGAAAACAGAGAAAACCATGACTATCATCTATGATGTAGCAGATCGTTAGTGGAGAAGGAAGTCAAAAAGCTTAACAACAACAACAACAAAATCTTATAAAATAGACAACTGATCTAAATAGGCATTTTTTTAAAGAAAATATGCAAATGGGGGCTGAGAGTACAGTTCAGTGGTGAGCATGTGCCTGTTGTGTATGGGCCCTGGGTGGGGATGGGGTGGTCCCAGCACCTTAAAACAGAGAAAGAAAGAAAGAAGATACAAGTGGCCAGGGAGTACATGAGGCGCCTCTCAGCAAGAGTGTCATCAGGGAAATGCCGATCAAAACCCCACTGTGGGTCTCCCCAGCCACTCAGAATAGCTCTCCTCAAAACGTAAATGCCAGGGAGGGTGGGCGAGAAGGGACCTGGTGCCCTGTTGGCACGGAGGGAAATTAACAGCCATCGTGGAGAAGAGTGTGGATTCCCTCCACAACTGCAAGGGAACACTGTAGCCCAGCAGCCTCGCTTGTTCTGAGTCCTCTGAGGTGTCCTTCCGGCCCCCTCCTTCCCTCTGGTCTCTTCCTGCCCACTGATTTTCTTCTCTGGGCTGCTGGCAGGATTTGCATTGCTACCATTTCTTTTCTTGCAAGTGTTGCCCCTGATCTACAGGCTCCGGAAGCAGACTGGGCGGAGCACTAGGAAGGGCCTGCAAGCCATCCTGGCAGGAGCGTCAGTGCTCCTGTGTGACCCCAACTGCTGGGCTCATCTCAGAGGTGCTGACCCTCCCCAGATCCCATGGGATCCTTGGTGTTCACCATCCAGCAGACATCAGGCTGTGGAATGTGAAATCACCCTCATTTACCATACGCATATGGCTTAAGCTCGTGCGTCTGTGTCTATGCCACCCATTTCCCTGGAGCCTTGTTTCCTTTCCCTTCCAGGAGAAATAAAACATTGATTTCAAAAGTCCATACACAAGCAGCAACCCTGGCCTTTGCCACCTGACTGTCTGCCTTGTAGGAAAAGAAATGTAGGAACCGCACTTTCTCCCAGCAGCCTGTGTCCCGCACCACCTAGGGGAACAGTACCAGTCCTGTAATTGACCAGCACAATTGTTTTCTAATATGCTGGACATCATTTCTGTAGCAGAGGACAGTGTCTCAGTCAGAGGTGACCTTATTTGTACAGAGCAGCTGGTAATTTTGCAGGCAAATACTTTTTTTCTTTTTCACCCTCCCCAAAATATATGGTCCTTAGAAGTCCCAGACATTATAGAAAGCCAGTGTCTTTTTCCCAAAGTTGTCACAATTATTTGGACAGCATGTCCCCTTGGTACAGTAGGAGTGATGGCTTTGTTCAGAGCATACCTTGTGCTCACACAGGAAGTCATGCTCTGATTGATGGACGTTGAACTCCCAAGGCAGTTTCCAGAGAACACACGCATGTTCATTCACTCCCACGTGCCTTCCTGGTTCACTGCCTGCCCTGTTATGAGGTCAGGAGGTGGGCCCCAACTCTCACAGAGCTTACAGGCTAGAAAGGACAAAGACAGGTGACCCAGCCGCTACCCACATGTGCCTGGCTTTGTCGCAGCCCAGGCCACCGTAACTTAAGTTCCAAACCAAGGTGGCTCACAAACAACATGAGCCTGTTTCTCACAGTTCCGGAGGCTGGGATGTCCAGGACGGAAGTGCCAGCAGGTTCGGAGCTGGGGAGGGCCTGTTCTGCGTGGACAGCCCCTCTTCACTGTGTCCTCCCTGGGGGAAGGAAGAGCTGGAGGCCACCTGGGCCTCTTGACCGGGGCTTTCATGCTGATCACGACCTGTCCCCTCCCCAAGGCCCCACTCCCAACACCAAGGCCTCTAGCACCCGGGCTTCAGTGTGGATGGGGAAGGACACAGACACTGAACCAACAGCCATGTGGTGGCAGGCAGCTGGGGGAGCAGGAGAGCCCTTCGGCAGGGTGGTGGCATGTAGGGCCTGCTACGATGGCCCCCACCGCATGCTGCAGCCTGGAGAGAGCAGGAGCTGGAGGGGACAGTGCAGGTGGCAGCCCCAGGAGGCTCTGGAGGGAAGTTCAGCCACGGGGAGGGACGGCCTGAGTGTGCACAGCGAGGCGTGGGGTGATAGGATTCTTTTTCGTTTTTCAGGACTAGTGAGCCTCGATGTCACTTGCCTGCTGGTGACTAGCAGTGGTGGAGAAGGCCAGAGTGCAGCAGGGGAGGAGTGGGGACTGAGGCAGAGGCAGGAAGAGCCAGAGCACAGGGCAGGCCACAGGCAGGAAGGTGGCACATGGGAAAGAAGGGGTGGCAGGGAGCTGAGCTACATAATGCCACCTGAGGATGGTCTCTCTAGGAAGCGATGTCATCACTAGCAGTGAAGACCACTTGGCAGAATTCGGAACTTGAGCTGAAAAACAGTGCTGTAGAGAAGAGGAGGGATTTCCAGGGAGCAGGGGCCCAGAGAAGTCTGCCCTCTGGTGGGCTGTGTTCAGCAGCTGAGGGCTGCCCCCCCCCAGCGCAGTCCCCTGGACTTGGGTTTCCCAAGCAGGTGACAGCAGTCAGAGTTGAGGATATTGAGAGGCCCAGATTTATAGGGACACTTCAGCTGGTTGGAGAAGGGAGGAAGAAGAGGGGCAGAGGAGAGGAGGAAGAGGATCAGAGGCTGGAGGCCCCGTGGTGGAGAGGACATCTGCTCCACCTGCACCTCTGGGCTTTCCTACTGGCTGAGTAGAAACCCAGCCGTCTTTGCAAACCCTTTCCTCGTGGCCAATTCTGCCAAGGCCCAGTAGAAAACACCGGAGTATGGCACCTTGTGAGAACATGCAGCCACTTCCTCCCCTGGGAGGCTGTTCCAGAGGGGTCGGTGACTCCCACTGCCACCAGGAAGCTTCAGTGTCACCAGCACAGGGAAGCCACGATTTCTGCCCATCCGCAGTGGTTCTCAAGGGAAGGCCAGCTACTAAGTGGCTCCATGTTTCCGATTTTCCCTTAGGGGAGCCGAACTTTTCCAGGCCACAATTGTCAAGGCTGTAAAGGCAAGAATCGAGGAGGAGAAGAAGTCCATGGATCAGCTGAAGAGACAGTAAGATGCTTTCATTCTCCTTCTCTTCCTTCTTCTGATTTGTGGGACCATATTTAGCTCTCAGCCCTTGGAGGCCTCAGAGCCTTGGAAAGTCTGTGTGTGTGACATTTCACAACTTCCCATGTATTTACTCTGAGTCGGAGCAGTCGCGAGAGCCTCCTAGCCTGAAGAAGAGAGTTCCAGAATGGAGGCAGGGGCCATCCTGAGAAAGACACGAGCAGTTCCTAGCTCAGGTGCTTCCCGGAGAACCTGGAGAAGCTCTCCAGGTCTCTGAGCCTCAGGTTCCTGCCCCTAAACTACATCTCACAGGCCCACCTTCCTGGATTTTTGTAGAGATTAAAGTAGCTCATGAATGAGACAAAAAATGCTCATTGCATCTCAGGTCAAGGGGATAAACCTGGGGTCAGCTCTGGAAGCATCTTGAAATCATGTAATCCAGAAAGAAGCTCTGGTTCTGAAAGACTGAGAGCCCCACTGGGCACAGGCAGCCTGAGGAGTGCAGTTCATCCTGGCCCATGTTCAGTCCACAGCTTTCCCACTGTGCCACTGTGGCTGGGTCATGGCATAGACTGGCTCCTCTCGGGAGATTTGGGAATTATTGAAAAGAATTTTCTGAGCGTAATTCTTAGCCAGGAATGGACCTTATAGCTTTAGGGATAAGGTGTGAAAGCTGATGGCAGTGGAGTTAAAGATGGCACGAGTAGACTTTTCAAGAGCCTGAGGTCCCCAAGGGCTGACACTTTGCCAAGAAAATGGAGATCTCTCTCAGTCCCCCAGGAAAGTTTCCCAAGTTTTCAGGAGCAGCTTCATTCCCTTCTGACCTGATTTCCAAGATTTCTCCACCCTCAGCAGAAGTGCTTCCTGGTATTAATTTGGTCCATGCCCTGGACATTTTCACAAAGATGTAAGTTATACGTAAACACCTAATACCAGTGCACCGTGTCACATCTGTGTTAGCATTGTTTCTGGCCACCAACACGGATCCAGAGGAATGACAATTTGGACCCACATTAGGAAGTGCTTCTCATTTCCCAGGAGGCCTGAGTTGTGATTACTGCTGAATTTTTCTGTCTAAGAATGCAAAAGTTGGCCTGGCGCAGTGGTGTGTACCTGTCATCCCAGTGACTCAGGAGTCTATGAGAGGAGGATCACAAATCCAAGGCCAGCCTCAGCAAGGCCCTAAGCAACTCAGCAAAACCCTGTCTCTAAATATAAAAGAAAAAGGGGGGACAGGGATGTGGCTCACTGGTTAAGCACTCCTGGGTTCAATCCCTGGTACAAAAAAAAATGTAGAAGAAGAAGAATGCCAAATTTAGGAGTATAAAGGACTTACACCTTAGAATGCGTTTTGTTCAGATTGGCTGTGACACCAGGTGTGAGTGCACACTGTGGCCTGCAGGCCAAACCCAGCACAGCAATCACTGGTCTCGTTCTCAAGTCGAGCCACTGTGGAGGACAGAGTATCATGGAGATTATATAGAGAGCAGGGAGATGCTTCATCTGAGAAGCAATTGTTTCACCATTGAGGATTTCAAAGTGAATTGGCCATGCCGTCCACGATTTTAGAAATACGCCTGGCAGTGGAGTCCACAGTCCTGCAAAGGTGGCCCTGGCATCGCCAACACTGGTTTATTTCCTAGGATGGACCGCATCAAGGCCAGACAGCAGAAGTACAAAAAGGGTAAGGAGAGGATGCTGAGCTTGACGCAGGAGGCTGGGGAAGGCCAGGACATCCAGAACCCCCCGGAAGAGGACGATGAAAGTACGTTCGTGGGGTCCTCCCACTCCCGTCTGAGATGCTGGGCAGTAGCTTGGTTCGGGTGGGGCTGTACGCTGGCTCTGCTGCTTGCTCTACCTGCATCAGCAAGTCTTACCCTCCCTCTGTGAGTGGGTACATTTATTTATTTCCTAAAACACTCATTTAATGAATGAATGACTTCACTCTTGGGCAAGATGTCTCAGATGAACACTTAGCCTAACGCTGTCTCACAGACATCTGCCCATGAAGGAAATTGGTGTGATTTTGCTTAATTTGTGCCTGTAGGGAAGGTAGTTCGAATATGCTAACTTTCATTTCTATAAGTTTTATATGAGTATTAAACATGCCTGCCTATGGTTTTATTTGGCATCTGAATATTGGTAGTTAAAATATCAGTTATTATATATTTCAGTTAAAACAGTGTGAAATATATATTTGTTATATCTAATCACAGACTTATTGTAGCCAGTTAAAGTTTTAAAGGTCTGCTTAGAGGGCTTGCATGCTTTGCTATTTGAAAGGAATAGAGAAATAACACATATTGAAATCTTTCCAGTACCTAGTGTCTATTCATCACCAGTAAATTTATACTTTCTGATCATGACATTAAATTAATCACAGGAAAAGTTTTTGGTTATTGTAATTTATCTGTTTTTAGAAACTATTTGCCTCTAAATGTTTCTGTAAAAGTTCAGTGAGGCTTCTTTTCTGTTGATTTAATGAAAAACTCAGTGCATTTTGACAGATAATCCCTTCTCCTTTTAAAATTTCTTCCTAGGCACTCAGTTACTAGGGAGATATGGAAACGTAGCATGGGGTTAGAAGAAGCCAGTGCAGAGGGGCCTGTTAGCACGTTTCCTTGTCGGGTTCAGTGTGGTTCCTTTTCCTGACTCTGATGGGCTTGGGCAGTCTGTCTAGGTTTGACATTGCGTTGTTAAAGCGTGGTTTTCAAATGTGCTTGCTCACTTTCTAAGAATTAATATCTGGACATATTTCATTTTAGGAGAAGCAGACAAACAGAAAGCCAAGGGCAAAAAAAAGCAGTGGTGGCGGCCTTGGGTCGATCATGCTTCCAGTAGGTTTCTCGATCCTCTTTCAGTCTCACCAAGTCTCACCCTTATATCCTTGACCAGAATTCAGGCTCCCCATGACCTGTGTGTCCCTTGCACGGTTTGCCCTTGTGACTTCATAGGGGGTCGGGCAGAAAAGCTGCCATGTCCATGGGCCTGGGGCCCTGCGAGAGCTCCTCTGGAACCAGCTCAGTGTCCGCGTCTCTGCAGAAAGCTGAGCGGGTGGCCAACAGGCCAGTTCTGGGGCTGCAGCTCTGCCAATATTTGCTTTCTGGCTAAAATCCCTGGTTAAAGTGAGTTTAGGCTCCTCCTTGGGCCCCAAGGCTCTGGGACCCTCTTTGTAAGGTGCTCAGCATGGATGCCAGGGCCCTCCCCTCCCTTCTCCCAAGCTTTGATTTCCTCTGCAGTAAGGCTGTGGCAACACGTTAAACACGAAGCTGAGGCAGGACTTTCTCACTCTGCCTCCTCCCCCATCTCAAAATGGCTCTGAAACTGCTCTGTGGTCTCCCATGCCCAACGTGTGGCCCAGTGGACAGCCAGCTGGCCCACAGTGACCAGCTGACAGCAGACATCAGAAAATCAGAGCTTGGTGGCCAGGCAGAGCATGCTGCACCTCCCTGTTGGCCATGACAGTGAAGAAGCAGCTATGAGACCTATGGGTTGTCTTTGTTCTGCTTATCAAGGAAACTGTCACCATTGGCCAATGTTATTGTCATGCATCTGGCCCTCCTTTGATATGTTAGAATACTGAATGATTAGTATTCTGAAAATTAATTGGGATGCCTTCCCTGGTTATAGCTTACAGAGACACATCTCCAAAACTGTCAGACAAGGAATATCACCGAGCTCAAAATGCTTCCTAGAGCAGGGTGGGACCCATGAGGGGCATCTTCAGAATCATTAAAAAACTAACTAAACCAGAACCTTCCCCGACCTATTGCTTAGCATCATGATGATCTGATGTTGGCCTCTCTCACTCCAGAGGAAATTCTCCAAAACTCGGAAAACTAGCTTTGTGAATTTGGCTCAGTATTTCTGGATGCAATTGAATTTTATCCCGAATATTGAATTCAGCATTTTGGACAAAAAAAAAAAATGATTTATAAAGAGTTCTATTCAATTTGCTCAAATCCAAAGAGAAATGTTCAAGCAAAAGTCCAGTGTGACTCTCGGTGGACTGTCCTTTGGCACGTGAGCCCTGCCGAGGACCAAGCGATGCTGTGTGCAGTTGCCTACTCCTGTCAAGTCACAAGTAAACCGTGCGACCTCTCTGTCCTCAAAGGGCCTTTGCCAGTGCAGAGACCTGTCCGTGTCATATCGTGTCACATGAATGTCAGACCCCACTGGGACCAGTTCCCACTGCAGTCACTGTGGGTGTCTTTCCTTTTCCCACCTCAGTGTCGCCCTTCCAGAGGAACTGGATGTGGTCTTTGATGATCATCTTACCAGTTGTGAATGATATGAAGAGCTTCCTGTGAAGGTTACTGAAGTTAGGCTTTTCTGACCCATTTCACCCTCATTATGCCACGTTCCTGAACACTGGTATTCACTAAGTGTGCCTGGTTACACTATCTGATGGTGCAATAACGCAGGACCGTGAGTCGCTCATGGTTTGGAATCACATTCCAACAGCGGTGTTAAATTTTTTCTATGAGATCTATTTTTCTTTCCAAGCCTGAGAGCATGGGTAGTTTATTTTGTAGGCTTGGATACGTTTCAGAACTTATTGTTAAATCTGGAAGAACTTTATTAGAAGGCCTTATTTTGATCTGTCAAGTAGATTGGGCTTTCCAAGAGAGCTGTCTTAGCAATGCCAAGGATAAGAATGTGTGCAGTAGAATGCCACATGTGAATCCGTGACATGTAATATGGCTTTGCTGTTTGTGTGACATTGGCAGCAGGCCTTGGTGTGGTCGAAGGTGCCACTTCTCCCATGTCCATACCATGTGCACACATGGGCTGCATTATTGCTGTTCAATGATACCTTCCCGTGGGTGCTGCGTGTGCACCCCATCTCAGCACTGCCTGAGTGAATACCGAGCCTCGCTTCATTGATGAATACCTCACCATGAGGGCCAAGTGTCTGAGGATACAAATGGCAGGATTTAAAAAGCTGGTTTCACACTAGCTCAGCAATATCATCAACACCCACAGAGCCTGTGGGGACAGTGTGGAGCTGTATCTGCATCTAAACTCTGGTCCACCTGAGAGCTTTCCTTCCATTACTAGGAGGCAGCACTGGAGAAAGACTCCTCTTGTTATTTTCCTAACTTCCATTTAATTACAGTTTTAAAAGTCCTCAAAAGCATTTCTTTGTTTTTAATGTGCTAGTTCTACTCACTCACATAACAAATTAGTTTCCAATTATAAAATTAAAATACAGTGCTTGAGATAATAACCGTTGGGCTCACCAGTGTGCATGACAGTTGCAGAAGGTATGATTGAACACTGTTGATTTCGGAACTTGTAATGAGGGTGAAATGCTCCTTCTTGTGAGACTGTGTTTTCCCACGTGACCGTGCGATGCAGAGTCCCTGTGACTTTCCAGAGACTCTGGGCTTCTGTAGATGCATTTCTTCACGGTCCTCCTCACTGTCCAACGTAATGCTGTAACTTTGGTTTGTTCTTGCTTTTTCTTACCTTATGTTGTATTGCATTTATTCCCTCAGGCCTGGACCCAGTACTCTGGGCCTGGTTTTTTTCTTCAAAATAAAATCAACAAATCAGTGCTTCTGTTCAAGGATATAAGGCCCAATTTGTTCATTCTACGTCTTCATGAATGGAGGCTTCAGATTCGTCTGAAATCATGGGCAAAATTACTTGAGTTTTGACCATGTTGAGTGATATCCAAGCAACTGATTTGAAAACAAGCCAAGGTTTTCCATTACTACAATGCCTAAGTCCAAAAGTCAACTCAGACATCAAGATGTTACGGAAAAGAGACCCTGCATCTGCAAACCCCAGCAGATATGTTTCCCTGCAACGATGGTACAGTTCTTGTAGCATCCAAAATGTATATGCTGGGTCTCTTTTCTCTGATAAACTCAAAACTTATCAAAATGATAGAAGAATTGAATTTCTTAAAATCTCTGGACATTTTCTCTGCTCCCAACTCTTAATCCAGGTGTTGTGATTTTGCAGGGAAAGTAAAAGACAAGGCAGAGGCGCTCCGTTACTATCTGTGCCTGTGCCTCCTGGTCCCTAGCACTCCCCTGAGCCTCATTACGTCCCGGGAGCTGCCTGTGGACCAGAGGCTGGCGGCATGACCCGTGTGGACTGGGCTGCGGCCCTGTCTGTCCAGCGGCTATGTTAGAAGCAGCCCAAGCAGTGCCACCGCTATCACTGTCATTGTCCTCGTGTTTCCTTCTGTTCTCGGTGTTGCCCCCCCCATCACCCCCATGGCCATGTGTGTTATTTAACTGTTTGAAATGTCTCGTCATGTATGTTGTGTCTCGTGTGTCCATGTGGAGAAGCCAGGTCTGCACGGTGTGAAGTGAAGCGGAAGGCTGGCTGCGCTGGTCTGGGTGCTGAGCCGTCCCCTCTGGCCTCCCTGGAACAGCCCAGGCCAGACCCTCCGCTTCCCTCTGGCCTTGTCTGAACCACCGATATTACTGAATTGCAAAACAGTATTCTCAGTTATTTCAGTAATAGAATCGGTTGCTGCAGAGTTGATCTGAGTTAACGGTATAAATTTTATAATCAAGAGGGGAGAAAACACCGGATCAGCCCTGTAGAGGCCGGGTCTCTGGGTGGTGTAGACAAGGCCTCAGGCTCCGTGGACCCCACCCTGCCAACATCATGTAGCGTTAGCCTGAAGTTGGTTCTCTTCATCTCAGTTTCTCCTCTGCCAACGTCTCTTGCTGCAGTCCTTCTATGGGCCATCTGTATATTTTTAGGGGCATTTTATTAGTAAGCCCCCAGCGGTCTCGTGTTTCTTTCAGGAAAATAAGTGACTATTTTATTTTGCTTAGTGGTCAGGAGTGGAGATTATTACTTGTTTGAAACGGATAGTGAAGAGGAGGAAGAGGAGGAGTTGAAGAAGGAAGACGAGGGGCCACCCCGCAAGTCAGCATTCCAGGTAAGTCTGGGCTGGGAGGGGTCGTGTCCCCTGTCATTTTCCGATTAACAGGCTCCATCGCAGGCCTGAACTTCTGATGAGCTCCTGCCGGAGCTCTGAGCCACTCCTCTTCATGCTGCTGTACGCTGCCTCCCGGCAAAGCCACAGCGGCTGCCCAAGGAGAGCAGGTTCTGTCAGGCCGTCATCCCCTCCGTCAATGCATCCCCTCATGCTTTACACAAAAATAAAGCTTCACTGGGTGAACTTTATTTTTGTGGTTGTTGCAAGAGATGAAGATTTCTTTGGCTTTGCTTTGGATTGCTTGAATGGAGTTATATTTCAAAGTATGAAATAGTTGATTATGAAAGTAGAGTGCTGGCTCTGTTTTGAATCAAAGGATCATGTAAATGCTGCTTCAGATTTCAGATCTGTTTTGTCTGTACTGCTCAAGATTGGAGGGTGCCCTATAAGGACAGCCACAACCTCTGGCACAGTCCCGTCTTCAGCTTAACCGTCTCTTCTGGTTCAGACCCACTCCCTGGTTCCCAGCAGGCACTCAGCAGCCCGAAAGCTAGGGGTGAATGTGTCATCCAGTCTTGTTAAAGATGAGGCTGTGTCCCTACGGTCCACTGAGGATGAAATCCGGTGTGCGTCTCTTGTACCAGTGAACCACACAATCATTTCCCGTTTCTGACAGTGCAAGGCACACAGATCCGTCTCCATGCTGCATGCATGAGGGCCCTACGATGAGGTCATTGTCAGCTGACTGGCCAGGCCTCCTCAAGCTGACAGGCACAATCCACCCTGTCTTCCTGATGACACTGTGGAACTAAGTTACTCATGGAGACACCCTAGTCGGATGCTGTCTCTCTGGCTCTGTTGCCCCATGTGGGCTTTTTGGTGACTGAGTTTGTGTGTGTGTGTGTGCAGCTGGCTCACCAAGTACTAATGACTTAACTGCTTATTTCCTTCTAATGACTTGCATTCTAGCTGTCACCCATCAAGCAGCGCAGGAGGGGACATGGGACATCTTCACCTTGTCTGATGAATTATGTGCAATGATGGATGGTTTTCTTTATTCCTCACTTACCAGCAGAGTCCGTTTTATTCTAGTTCCCACGGTTGGCACATTATAACCTCCATGATCTTAATGGTAGAGACAAACTTGTTCGCCTTCATATATTAACTACCAGTTTTTTTCACCTTCGTATTTTAACTACTAGTTCTTCTCGCCTTCATATATTAACCACTAGTTTTGTTTTCCCTACTAACGACTCTTACTTTGTCCTTCTTTGTAGAGAGCTATTGGGAAGTTTGCGTCAGCCATTTTAGCCTTGCCCAAGTCTGTCATTAAACTTCCCAAAACTATTCTTCAGTATTTAATCAGAGCTGCAAAGGTATTTCATGTTTTACTGACATGTAGTGTGTGACTCTCTGCTCAGTAGAACTTTAGTCAAACACACCCCCTGTCTGCATTCTCTCTTTTCTATACATCGTACAAGGAAGAAATTGTACAAATGTAAAACACTGGGACAACTTTTCCAAAAAGAGTGCTTAGAAGCCAGATTTCGTGTTGTTTGATTTCTTATTTTTAAGCTGAGACTATTGAAAAATAGAAAGGGAAAATGCAGACACATGTACGTTCTGTCCTCTTCATGGTTCTGCGTAAGTCACGTCTGGTTTTTATAAGGGTCACATCTGGTTGCATGCATCTGTTACAATGAGTCAAACCTGTGATGATGTTTCTCAGAAAGCTGGTAAAATTCTGCACAAGCTGATAAAAGACTCACCCGCCTCCATCGCCTTTTCTGCCTCCTTTTCGTCTCCGTCTTCTTAGACGGAGTCTGTGGTCTGGTTTCTACTCTCGGTGCACCTGCCCTAGCTGCTCAGCCCCACATGGCCCGGTAGCTTCTCGCCCTTGTGGGATCTGTGGCAGTGCTTTAGGTACACTGTTTAAAGTTCTGACACACCACAGAGTGACTCAGCTGCCTGTGCTGCAGTCCCTGCACTGTTGGAAACCACAACTAGCAAATGACAATGCAGGTATTTTCTAGAACATTCTTTCTCTCAAACTCAATCAAGGACAGGACCTAAACCTCTTAGGTCTAAATGCCCCTAGGGTGTGAAGCACATGGTTGGAATAGTGACCATGACCGTGCATCTTGCATTTTACCTGGGATCTTGCTTACATGCATCTCTTGGCTCAACAGGTCCTGTGGGACCTGAAGCCCACATTCACTCAGCTGCCCCTGAGCAGCGGAGTCCAGCCCTGCAAGCCCCTCCCACTCTGCATGTGCAGCAGGCAGAGTTGGCCACCAGCAGCCCCTGCTCTGCTTCCCTAGGACTTCCCCGAGGTAGGGCAATCCTGAGTCTCACGATTCACATTTAAAATTTACTTAGATGAAAGATTATAGTGTGACATCCCCGTCTTACTTTTAAAAAGTCATCTTCTGAGGGGTGAGGTCATGCACACCTGTCATCCCAGAGGCTCTGGAGGCTGAGGCAAGAGGATTGCAAGTTCCAAGCCAGTCTCAGCAACTTACCAAGGCCCTAAGCAACTTAGTGAGGCACTGTATCAAAGTAAAAAACAAAAAGGGTTGGGGATGTGCCTCAGTGGTAGAGCACTCCTGAATTAAATCTGGTATCAGAAATAAATAATCATCTTCTTACAGACAGAATGAAAAAGGTACTGGATAAACCTGAATTAAAGCACAGACATGAGACGTGATCTGTCTTGGGGAAGGGAATCCACTGCAACCAGGCTCTCCCTGTTTTAAAGAACACAGACATTTTTGCATAATAAATGTTCAGTAGAAAGAATCCCATTACCCCCAATATAGATGATAAATATAAGATAAAGTCACATGAGATAAAATTTATGCCAATGTCAGGGACGTACAGCAGTGGTGGCCTTTCACTGAGCCTGAAGGTCTTTTATGCGTATTTCCTTGGAGTTTTCTACAGATGGTTGGTGTGGTTAGTGCCTGAGTCCCAGACAGACCAGCCCAGTTGATGACAGACACTTACAGCTACAAAGTAACAATCAGGAAGTCCAGGAAGAACTTTCTGTCTCTTCACCCAGAGGGTTGGAATGTTTCCTCTCTTGGCAACATTTGTGTGAACTAGTCAGACCAAGGCAAAACTGACAAGACCTTTCTGGAACTGTCACAACATCCACATTAAGATGACTTACCTGGGCCAGGCACTGTGGTGCAGGCCTGTGGTCCCAGTGACTCAGGAGGCTGAGGCAAGAGGATTGCAAGTTCAGCAACTTAGTAAGACTTGGTCTCAAAAGAAAAAATAAAAAAGGGCTAGGGATACAGGTGTGTAGCTCAGTGGTAGAGTGCCCCTGGGCTCAATCCCCAGTACAAAAAAATAAAAAATAAATACACACACACACAGAGTTAGCAAAATCTGACTTCTCACCCAGGGCATGTCTTCCATGACTACAGGACCCCAGCGGAGCCCCGCCAGAGCCCCTGCTGCAGGGACGGGGTGAGGCCCAGCGCTGTCCTTGGCTCCCTCATCCTACCTTCCCCTCCCAACTCTTTATTTTTCTACAGAGTAAAGAGTTCCTCCAACTGGTGGCCCTGCCACATTCACAAATCCTAGTTACCTATTTATTTTCTCTTTGGGGGATTTTTTCATTATCTAAAACAATATTGTCATAACACTTTTTTTCTTTAAAGGAAATGTCACTATATGTTGCTCTTATACCTGAAAATTTCTTAATGTTTAGTAGATCAGATTCTTTTAAAAACATCCCGTGTTGCGCTGAGGCAAGTTTGCTTCTTTCGGTACTAAACCTGAAAGCCAGCCTTGACAGAATTCTCAGTCAACACACCCCATGAACATCTGACTGCAAATCCCTTTACCTTGTCCTTCTTCAAATTCCATTTCATCTTCTCATCTTATTAAATATGTTTTTGACAAAAAAAAATAGCAAATATTTTCTACCTCCTGGGTTTCTCACCCAGAAATGATACGTATTTTGCATCTATGTTAATTGCCCAACTTAGATTTCTCTCTCTGAGAAAACAGGAAGTGTTCTTCCTCAGCCTGTGGCCCTTTCCTTCTCATATGGAAAAGTTGAGTCCCTCTTTCTTTTCTCCTGACAACACAATACCAGTGATTTATTTATGCTATGTTTTTCAAAGACTCCAGAAACCTGAAAATAATCTAGAATGAAATGAAACTATCTGGGTTTATAAGAGCTCCCACAAAACTGTTTGACTTAATCATCACCATGGAAAACCCAGCTTCCCTGAGACCCGTGTTTGTGCTGCATGACGAGCATGCCTGCCTGGCTTCCTGGTTTCTAGATGGCTGACTTGGTGTGTCAGGTTGTTCTTTTCATTTCTTCTGCATGACTCTGGGGACTTAGTGGGAGGCTGTTCAAAATTGCTCTTTCCTGATTATCGGACATAATATGTTAATGCCACTTTTTTCAGCTCTTGAATGCAAATGACAAAAGACAACCAAAAGTACCACAGGTTTTCTTCCGTGCTATTCTGAAATAACTGTTTGACCTTGCTATCATTTATTTTCCTCTAAAAATGCTAATCAATTTGCAAGGCCCTTTCTCAAGTTGCTGGAAAGAGCTGTCATGCCCAGGGGGAGCCTGGAATGGACAATGTAAGATTTCTCCAATGTAAGATCACAGAGAAGCACTGGTTTTCGACTCAGAAGTTTCCGAGTGATGGGAGAATCACTTAGTGAGGCTTCCAGTTGCTCCTACTATGTGTAGTGAAGACTCAGAAATTTAGGGTCACAAATGGCTATGGTAATTGGGACTTGGAGAAATGATTGCTTGTACATACCCAAAGTCTATCTCATGATTCTCTGTGACACCAAATGAAATATGTGCCTATAACATCTGCTTTCCTGTTACATCTCAAGATGATGGGAACAGCCCCCACCAGCTCAGCATAGGCAGAGGAGTCTGGTTGTCTGGTGGTCTTACTTTTAAAAAGTCATCTGCTGAGGGATGAGGTCATGCAGATCTCACACACCTGTCATCCCAGACCCTTGGGGAGCTGAGGCAAGAGGATTGCAAGTTCCAAGCCAGCTTTAGCAATTTATCAAGGCCCCAATCAACTCATTGCAAGTTCCCTAAGCAACTTAGAAGGAGGTGAAGGTCTATTAGAACATAGTGCTGATCTCCCCAAGTTAGGAAGCTTTATGTAGGTCCCTGGTCTTCCCATTTCGAATTATTAAAAGGCCAGGAAATAATTGAACTTTCTCCCTTCAGTTTGTCTATCAAGCCTGGATTACTGACCCTAAAACAGCACTTCGCCAGAGGCGGAAAGAGAAGAAAAAGTCTGCAAGAGAAGAGCAGAAGCGAAGGCGGAAAGGCTCTGGGGAGGGTGAGTGTGGAAGGGGCAGCAGCTGGGGCCAACGCCCTGGCCTCTGGCCCTGAAGCAGATGGCACTGCAGGGGCAGATGGCAGGGAGGACACTCCTGAGCTCCAGGAGGCTCTCATTTGTCCCATAGCACTCACCGCTGGGTACAGTGACAGGTTAAGATGAATACCATAATGTGGGAGGGGAGACAGAGCAAGGTCAATCCCAAGAAAACAGAAGGCAGTAAACTAATTTTAGGTGATACTAAGTAACCAAAAAAGAAACAAAAGAGGAGGCCTGAGAGTTAAGTTAAAGCTGCTCTTGGAAAAAGTCAATAAGAAAGACTGAACCTTCAGCAATTTGATTCAGAAAATAAAGTTGTGGGGTATATATTTAAATAATACTCAGGAATAAAAAAAATAGACAACATTATCTAATACACAAATAACATCATGGAAAAAATAGTTAGTAAGGAAAAAGAGAAAGATAACTTATTGCCAACATTCAGTTCAACATTATGCCAAGACATAGGACCTAAACACATTTCTAAGGAGAAAAAGCATCATGAAACACCAAAGCCAAGTTGAAGTGCAAGCTGCAAGCTCAGGATCATAGTTTCATCACACACACACACACACACACACACACACACACACACACGTATCACACGGAAGACTAGTATTTTGGATGTATTAAGAATGCCTAAAAAGCATAAAAGAAAAGTTCAACCCAATAAACAAAATGCTATGAAAAATAATTCACAGACCAGAAAACAAAAATGCCCCCCAGGTGCCAAGTCTCACTAGTAATATGAGAAACACAAACTAAATATGTAGACATACTGGCTTTTTAAATTATTTTTACCTGTTGGATCAGCAAGAGACAAAACATGTCACAGCTCTGGGGTTGGTGGGAAGGGATGTACTCGCACCAGCCTGGAGTGGTGCTCGAAGGGCCACGCGTCAGAATCTATTATTTTCAAAGGTCCACATTATACTACAGCTCAGTCACACCAGTGGGTGTGTGGCTTAGATGAAGGAATGTCTGTACATGTGCACAAATTCACGTCTGAGAATATCCATCTGACGTATGGGTTAATAACAAAAATTTAGAAACATCCTAAATGTTCATACAAAGAAGCATTGAGGGCTGGGGTTGTGGCTCAGCGGTAGAGCACTCGCCTCGCACGTGTGAGACCCTGGGTTCCATCCTCAGCACCACATAAAAATAAATAAACAAAATAAAGATACTGTGTCCATGTATAACTAAAAAAAAGAATTGAATGAATTTGTATTATCAATAGACGATATCATACTGTTCAGTGATTTTAAAATGACACAAAAGGCTTTGAATCAGCATGGAGAACAATCCCCAGCATATTATTAAGTGAAAAAAGACTCTTTGCAAAACTACTTGCACGTAATGAAACCATACACAAAACAAAGGAAACAACGCCCTGGTATTTTAATGGGTGCATGTAATGTGCTGGTGTCTGCAAGCAAGAGGGAGATTGGGAAGGACACTCAGTACCTAGTGGCAGTAGTCACTTCTGGGAGAGTGGAGACTCAGTGTATGGTCAAGATTAAGTGTTTTGTTTTGATTATTTACAAAGAAAATGTATCTACAAATTTCTTGTAAAATTAAAAAGGTAGTCAAAAATAAGAAGAAAGCATTTTTGCTTTTTTTTTTATTAGTTGCTCATGACAATACAATGATCTTGACATATCATACATTTGAATCAAATGAGGTATAATTTTCTAATGTAACTTTAGTTGCAAAACCTCTCTACTTTTTGATCTTTCTTCCCCCTGATATGTCCTGGCAACTTTAATGTTATTTTACTTAGTTTCAAAAGACAAAAGCAATACACAGTCCAAGTAATCAGTGACGGGGAGGCAGGCCACAATCGGCCCAGGCCCCACCCTCGGGACCTAGCACAGAAGGGACAACTCCTCACCCCCTGTCTTTGCTTCTACCCCTTTGTTATGTGCAAAAGTCTCCTTTATGGGCTTTTCAAAACTGAGCTGATGCTCCACGAGTCTCTCCTGTACGGTTGTTAATAGCATCCCCAGAACTTTTCTCCAATTAAGTATTTATGAACCTGGATCATCTTTTCTTAATGGCTGTCAGAGATTCTATAGTACAGATATGCATCATTTATTCTATTGCATCATCCTTAATGGACGTAGGGTTGCATCCAGATTTTTGCCTTAATGCTCAATGCTGTAATAGGTGTCCTTGCAAAAAAAAAAAACTGACCTATAGTCACATGTGAGTGTCTTTAAATGTTTAGCAAAGATAGAATGTGTGTTTCCCACACCATAGGAGTCAGTTCTCAGAAGCGGGGTCACTGGGCTGAGGGACGTGGCTCTTCACTGTTAACAGACATCTTCCAGGAGGGCTCAGCACCAGGATTCCTACAAGGCTGGTGCAAGGGCTTCCTCTTGCCACAGCTTCATCTTTCTGAGAAATGGAAATGGCTTTCGTTTTCATCTGAGTTTAGTGGACTTCCTGGCTGACGGGCCTGGGCTTTCTTGTCTCCTGTCTTCTAGGTGATCTGAGCTGTGACCACGGTGCTATTCCCCGTAGCTCTGCTGGGAGGCTGGCTCCTTCCTCTCAGCTGGTGTCACTGCTAGGCACACTGTCCTCTCTCGTGTGTCACACGTGTTCTTCTTGCTCATTACTCACAGTCTGACTTGGTGATAGTATGCTGTAGCTGAACCAGTTTTAACTTTTGATGTCATGTGTCTCAATTTCTCATTGTAATTTTAAGGACATTGATGTGCCTACTATTCACCTCAAAATTAAGCACATGTTTTTCTGTATTTCCTACTCAGTTTATTTATATCTTAAATTTTTAGTTATCCCAGGAAATAGAAATGATTTTTAAGCGCTCACATGGATGCGTAATTATGTTGCCCCTACTTATGAAGTGGCTCTTCTCGTTATTGGAGTTAAGTTCCACTGTGGTGGGTACCGAGCTCTGCTTGTCCTCGGGTGTGACTGGGGCTCCGTGTTCTGCTGCACTCTCCTGCTGAAGCACTGAGCCACGTGCTTCTGAGTCTAGCAGCTATGCAGTTAGCTTCACTATTAACGAGGCAAACTGCCCTCACTACCCTTGTTATTCCCAAACACTTGTTCTTCCGACACTTTTTGGCCAGTTCCAAGAATGTGTCCCTGGTCATCTTGCCGTTGGCTCAGCACTGCATGTCATAAAGATGATCTCAAGTGCAGGCGCTGTGCTGCTTACCTGCAAACCAGAGACAGCAATGACCTAAAGACACTCACACCCCAAAGGAAGATCTACTGGGCACTTTCTGGATCAAGGTGACATTTCCTCCATGTCCCTGTGGACATGGGAAGCACAGTGTGTCCTGAGGGGCAGGTGCTATTCAGTGCTTCCTCACAGTGGCTGTGGACTCCTTGCCACAGCCCAGGGGCCTTTTAGTTAGCCTGTCTTGCACATGGGCAGGGACAGTCCCAGAGAGGGAAGTAATGTGCCTGAGGTCACACAGCCATTCAGGAAGTAGTGGGTCTAGAGGCCATCCCAGACCCTGGGCTTTAGCGCCCTCTGTCTTAACCAGCCCAAAGACAAACGCAGGAAAAGGAATCCTGATGGCCCAGGAACTGTAAACTCCACTGAAACCCTAAGCACAGACGAAACAGTGGGGAGCAGGAGGAGACAGGATTGCTTGTGCTCCAGCGAGTCAGAGATGCAGCGTGCACAGAGTGACACCCTGGCCAAAGGCCCAAGGTCCTGTCTAAAGACTAAAGAGCAGGTTGGCTTCGATGGCCAAGCAGGAAGTAATGCAGCTGTAGAAAATGAGGTGGGATCATAAGATTGACCAGACAGCAAGTTTGAAAAGGTTAACTGAAGTCAGATCATCTTTTCAAATTTGCTGTCTTAGGGCTTCCAGATAAGGCACAAGAAACCCAGTTAAATTTGAATTTTCTAATTAAGGAATAAATGATGTTTAGCTTAAGTCTAATTTGCACAAATTTTTATGAAATATGTCTATATTAAAAGTTTTTCTTGTTCATCTGAAAGTCAAACGTTCAAGTTAACTGAGTGTCCTGTATTTTTATTTGCTAGATCTGACAATTTTAACCTTAAATTATAGGATAAGAAACAAACTGAAACCTTGTGATGTCTTATTCAGATACTGCAAACCAAAATGTGTTAACATCTTTCCAAAGAATCAAAAATTAAGATTTCATAGTGTACATCTGGAGTTGGCAAACTTTTTCTGTGAAGGAGCAGATAGTACATGTTTTAGGTTTTGCAGTCTGTGGTCTCAGCTGCTGCTCAACTCTACCAGGTGGGGTAAAAGTGGCCGTAGGAAGTACACAAAGGGGCTGAGCTCTGTCCCATTAACATTTGAATTTAACATAATTGTTGCATGCACAAAATATTACTCTATGCAGACCTTTCAAACTATTAAAGATACAAAGGCCAGGCACAACTCATAAGCTGTCATCTAATAATATCAGCCAGCCAGAGTTGACCAGTACATGTAATTCTAACTCTGCAGTGAAGAACATCTGAACCCTGGAGCATCAGGGTGAGTGAAATAAACCAGACTCAGAAAGTCAAAAGCTATGCAGTTTCTCTCTGTGGAAGCCAGAGAGAAAGGAGGGAAAAGGGGGCGGGAAGGTATCCTGAAAATAGAGGGGAGACCATGAACAGAGCAGAGGAAGGGCAGCCGGGAGCGAGGGAGAACGAAGGGGGCTGGGTGAGGTCCGTCAGGTTGTCCATGCTGGGACGTGCCACACCAAGACCCACTGCCATGCGTAAGAAAATGTTTTTTAAGAAAACTTGAACATTGAATTCTTATGTAACCCAGGAACTTTTAAAATAGGCAAAGTGCCCTACCTTGAATTATAAACTTCTGTTAATCTAGAAAAGTAGCGTTGGCATTTCATTACCGAAGGCACCTAACTCATCTTTGTGGCACACCTCGACAGGTGCGGTGGAATGGGAAGACCGAGAGGACAAACCGGTCAAAAAGAAGTCTGATGGACCAGGTAACAGGCTAAAGACAGGCGTGCGCCGTGGGGAGTGTGGAAATGAGAGCTGCCCAGGAGTCACATATGGAAGGCTCCTGAAAAGTAATGCACCAGCTCTGTCTCGGGACCGCGGCTAAATAACCAGCGTCCCTCTTATCTCATCTCCACTGCAGCGGCTCCAGAAGCACCCCTGGCCTTTGTGCTGCCGGGTGGAATGCTGGGTTAGTGTCTGTTTGAAAAGTCCTCTGTGCAAGTGCCCAGGAGAGGGTTTTAGTGAACAAATCCCAGTGTCCCCTGGAAGCCATCAGAATAATGGCAGGAATAGAACTGGCAATCAATCTTTAGGTTTTGCATAATCTATTACATTTACTTTTTAGTTGATATATAATAACTGTGCATTTTCATGGGTGCAGGTGATATCTAGCTACATGTCTACCATGGGTAGTAATGGAATTTGGGGGGTAACACATCCATCGCTGCAAACATTTGTCATTTCTTTGTGTTGGGAACATTCAAAATTCTTTTAGCTATTTTGAAAGATGCAGTCCTTTATTGTTTGTAAAAGCACTGAAGGAAGGAATTAAGCGACAGGTGAGCAGATGTGGGAGTGGAAAGTGCTCTAGAAGCTGGGGTCCTGTGGCCCTGCTGTAAAGGGGGAAAACAGGTCCCATGGAGCCACTTGCTAGAGATGCCATAGCATCAAGGGACAGGACCCTCATCTTCAAACTTCAGGCCCAGTCAAGGTACTGCTTGGGTTTCACCAAGCTCATGATTTGGAGACGTTTTCTCCAAGAAGGATGAGAAGCAAACAGGAGAACCCAAACAGCTCCCCAACAGCTTCTCCAGGTCTGCACACAGCCCCTCCCTGAGCTTCCCAGTTCCCCCACAGGGCACGTGGTGTCAGCCTGTGATTGACAGCTCTGAGACTCCATTTGAGACTCCAGTTGGCACTTAGTGAGACTTGAAGGAGGCACCCTCGCACCTTCATGGTCCTCCCCCCACACCCTCCTTTTCCAGATAACTGGATCCATGAAACCAGATATTCTGTTTTCCTGAAAGCTTTGTTTGCTAATAGTAACTGACCCATGAGATGCCCATCTTGCTTTCCAGGCCCTTTTCCAAGACCTGTAGCCATATCAACTGGTTCAACCCCCTCAAAAACTCTCGTTGCCACTTAACAGATAAGGAAACTGAGGTAGCGTGAGATGCACTAACTTCTCAGGCCTATACGACCACAAAGGGCTAGGGATCAATAGCAAGGAGTCTGGGTCCGGAGTATGTGCTCTGAATGCCTCTGGCCTACCACCTCGGTAGTTAAACACAGGTAAAATTTAAACCCTAACTCTACGTCAGTGATGGGGCATCCCAGCGTGCATTGTTCACCTCTGCAGTGCCGCCATCTTACTTCTAACATCAGGTCCATGTTGGGAGAAGAGTGAAGCAGTCTACACTGAGCAGCCCGAGGCTCTGTCCACACTGGTGTGGGTGACACACTGGCTGGAGACGATCCCAGGGAGGACAGGAAGTGGAGAGAACAGCCCAAGGGTTGATGTCCCTTGGCTCCAACGCCTTCTGTGTACAGTCGCTGCCTTCAGCCTCTGTGGCCGCTGTTCTCCACCTGTGCATCTTGGCTCAGCCAAGCAGGCCCTTGCTATCTGTGTCAGATTGTGATGTGGGACATGGTTGCAGAGGTTCAGGGGAGGCAGAGGTGGCAGGAAACACCTTCACAGGGACCGTGAGACTTCATAATTCAGCCCTGCTGTTGCTCCGGGGCCTGGCTGACATGGGAAGCCCAGGGCCTTCTCTCCAGGTCTTTCTCCCAACTTTTTTCCCAGACCACCAACTGTCTTCCTGGGGTCCAGCCGGCACCTCCAAACCCCATCTGTTGCTGGATAAAACCGTTGAGCTCTTCTTTGTCTCCAGCTGGCCCATCTGGACTTTGTCCAGAGGCCAGGAAGTTCACAGCTAAGCTGCCTGTGATGCTTCTCCTTTTGAAAAGAGCAAATCTTTGAGAGAAGTTCTGCTTTCCTCCTAGGCCACCTACTTCAGAAGTGGCCGTACTTTTTCTTTACAAAGCCAACTCTGACTCACATTGTGGCCTTCGGAGCAGAGAGCGTTAGTGGAGAGCAAGAATGGGTCATGGATGTCAGGCCTGCCTGCAGTGGGTCGGGCTCAGCAACCCTGCAGCCACGGGCTGAGGAGACCTGGTCTACCTGAGTGAGCAGGGCAGGCAGGTCACATGGTAGCGGGCCGCGCTCACTCTTCTTCTCTCGTCAGAATGTATGTTCACGGTGCACGACATGCAGTTTCTATGTACTTGGTGAGGTAGTGACTGTTCCAGCAAATCAGCCTGCCACACCTCCCGTGGTGACCCTGTGTGTGTGGAAAGGGCACCTCAAGTGGGCTGCGTAGCAGATTCCCAGCATACAATACGGCACCCTTAGCTGGTCCTCGTGGTGCACCTCAGGGCTGTACAGTCCCTGGTCCCTCTGAGCCAGTGACCTTCCACGTAGCTTCCACCTGCAGCTGCACACACTCCTTCCCCGCGCCTGCCCACCCGGTTGCTCTCTGCTTCTGTGGGTTCCACGTGTGGACCCTGCAGCATGTGCTTTTCTTCATCTGGCTTATTTTGTTTGACATAACGTCCTCAGCGTTCACTCATGTTGTCTCAGTGACGGGATTTCCTTCGTCTCTGAGGCTAATAAATATTCCAAAAGGCGAGGTCACCACTGTGCTACCTCCTCCGCCTTCCACGACGTCAGGGAGCTCAGGCTTAACCCTCTGTGGACCTGGGCAGCTGTCCACGACCTGAGCTCAGGGGAGTCAGCTCAGCTCCCACGTTGCAGCTCTCCAGCTCCCTGGTCCTGGACAAGGACAAAGACACAAGGACATGGGGAACCTAGGGCTTCAGCTGACAGGGGATGAGTGACACCTTTGCAGAAGCCATAGTTAGCACAATGCAGTGTGAGCATGATGGAGACCCAGGGATGGCACAGACTCACTCTGTGCACTGAGCTGTCTAGTGACAGTTCTGCTGTGGTCTAACTGCAAGGCATTTGCAGTGAGAAGAGTCAATGGTGAAGAACAGGAGAAAACCAGAAGGCCCTCCAAAGCCCTGATCAGCTGGACAGACTATCAGTACCAATGACAGAGTCATCTTTGAATGCAGTCTCTACCTTAGTAAACCTGTTAGGGTCAGCCCTCCATGTATGACGGTTCTTTTTCTCACAGATTCAACCAACTGCAGATCAGAAAGAGTCAGGAAACAGCTGCATCCACACTGAACATGTACAGACATTCTTCCTGTCCTTATTTCCTAAAAAACCCAGTATGACAACTGCTTACCTGGCAATTGCATTGCATCAGATATCATGTCATCTACAGATGACTGAGAGCATACAGGAGGATGTGTGCAGGCCCTTTGCAAACGCAGCACCTTTTGACTTGAACACTGTACAATCTGTTATCCACAGGGTCCTAGAACAATCTCCTTTTTTTTGAGGGACAACTGCAGTTGAACCCATTTTGACTGATATTTGGTCAAACATTACAAATTCCACCCTCCTTTGGCCTTGTTTTGGCCCCTACGTGTGTAAGTCCCCATGTGGCCTCCTGGCTGTGGGCCTCCTCCATGTCACATTGAAGATCAGGGGCCCCACTGCTTCCCTGGGTGCAGAGCAGACACCAGGCCTGGCTCCAGTTAAACCCCACTGTGCCACAGGACAGCACGGTAGCCATGGTGTTCTGTTCCCTTGCAATCTTGTGTTTCTTCCTCCAGATAATATCATCAAGAGGATATTCAACATCTTGAAGTTCACCTGGGTGCTGTTCCTGGCAACGGTGGACAGCTTCACCACCTGGCTCAACTCCATCTCTAGGGAGCACATTGACATATCCACCGTCCTGAGGATCGAGAGGTGCATGCTGACCAGGGAGATCAAGAAGGTACCCTGTGGGCACAATCCCTCTGCTTCTTCCACACTGAAAGGGCTTTCAAATTCAACACACAGGTTATGTCGCCCGATTCTAAGTGCTGGGGACCAGGAGTGTTTCAGATGCCCAGTTTTTCTGGATTTGGGAACGTTGGTGTATACACAATGACATGCCTTGTGCACGGGGACCCAAGTCTACTCATGAAAGGCATTTATATTCCACACACAGCTGAAGCTCATTCAGTGCCATATCTTTGTGAGTGCACACACATTTTAATTGCAGAGCACCTGAGGTCAGGTATGGAGTTTGCCTCCTGTGGCAACATGTCTGCACTCAGAGCTTCTAATTTTTGAGCATTTCAGATTTCAGACTAGTGATTCTCAATCTGTATCTAAAACTCTAAATAAGGTAAGACAAAATCCTTTCTTTCCAGGTAGTCATTACATAAATTCTTGCTTTTCTGTATTTAAATCTATTCCCTGCTCAGGATTAAAATAGTCAAACACCATAGGCACGTTCAAAAATGGATCCTAAGTGGATCGAGCCTAAGGCAAGGCCACAGCTTCCTGCTCTGCTGGTGTGGAACAGCAGGGAGCCTACCCTCTGCCTCTGGCATCCAGCTCTGGACTGGGCTGGATTCCCTCACCATAGTTTACATGCCTATAGACTTTGCAGTGTCCTATGAAGAATTATAGTTTTAGTATGGGAAGTTTGATCCAAAACTTCTTCTAGAAAAACTATCATATTGTACAGAGAAATAAAATATACAGTAGTCATGTAGGTATGTCCATTTCTGGAAGAGTTAATAAGATTTAGCAAAGCTATGTACATAATATAGGGATTTCTTGTTTAGAATTCCTAGTACTACTGAGTGGCATGAGTGACCCTACATGAGGTGACATCAATCCCAACCTGCCTACATCACGTTAGTCCATATTCCAGGTTGGCCTGTGTGCTGAGAAATGGCAGGTGGCTCATGGGCAGGTGCTTCCGTAAGAACTGAGGCCTGTCCCCTGTCTGCAGGGCAACGTCCCAACGCGGGAGAGCATCCACATGTACTATCAGAACCACATCATGAACCTGTCCAGGGAGTCGGGACTGGACACACTGGACGAGCGGCCTGGAGCAGCCCCGGGGGCCCAGACAGCCCACAGGATGGATAGCTTAGATTCCCATGACAGTATCTCCAGGTATTTCACTTTCTGAAAAGCATTCGCTTTTGGCCTATGTGATGAGGTAGACGTCATCAAATATGAGAAATGAATGAATGAATGAGGTGGAAGTTAATAAAAAATTCGCATGGTATCCCAACCCCTGCCGGTGATCTCCATCCACAGAGCTATGTCAGAAGAACTGTCCTCACCTGACCACACCAGATAAAAACAGATATCAATCACAAAGGATAAGAAACACTCGTGTGTTTTATAGGAATGGTATTGAGATTTCCAAGCCAGAGGTGAACAAGATTGGTCCTTCCCAGTCCCCAAATTATGGTTTATGCCAGGCACTGCGTCTCTGCTGCCTCTCAGAATGACCATTCCACAAGAGTGTCTTCTATACTGGGGTTTTCTACCTTCTGTTGCTATCCTGGATATTTCCTTTCAGAATTGTTACTTTAGGGCTTAGAATAAAAATTCCAGAAACGATCCTGGTAGCTTCCACCATCCCTGAGTGCTAGGAGTGCTTGCATTGTTCCACAGCAGGATTGGCAGGTGATCCAGGGCCAACAGTGGCTGTGCAGTACATGTCCGCCACGGGCCAGCACTGGACACTGCTCCTGGGTGGCCTCATGCTATCTTTTCAGATCCTGCAAGATGCATGCTGATGTCATCTCTATTTTACAAGGTTCAGTTAAGGGCAGGCTGAGAGACTCACTCAGCCATGTAGCTGGAAACTTAATGATAAAGCAGACCCAGGATCCAAGCCGTGTGGTTCAGCCCCGAGCCCAGCTCTGAGCTCAGTGCTGTGCTGTCTGCTTGCTTCTCCCTGCATCCCAGGCCAGTGTGTGACTCCTCTAGGAGCCTGGGGACTCTGCACCCAGGTGTTGGTTTGCTGCTGAGGAGTGTGCCACACTGGCCCCTGAGTCCCAGCAGGAGTCTCTGACCTAGGAGGAAAAACAGCATCACCTAGGTGATTTACTAGCCCAGCGAGTCCATCTTGTGGTCATTTCCTAGGTCAGGAACAGAACCACTGAGGACATGTGTGGATTAATTATTCTCTTTACACATGCCATAGCACCCCTTCTAGGCTGGGCTCAGTTCTGGGACACAACCATAAAGAAAGGGTCATCTCCTAAGTGGATCAACCGAGCCTAAGGCAAGGCCACAGCTTCCTGCTCTGCTGGTGTGGAGCAGCAGGGAGCCTGCCCTCTGCCTCTGCCATCCAGCTCTGCACTGGGCTGGCCACACTGCACCACGGTGGGGCCTGAGGCAGGGAGAAGTCCTGGTCCTTTACAAACACTGAGTTTCCAGACAAGTAGGTGCAGGGAGTGAGATGGTTGATCAATACCAAACTCAAATGGGATCCGGAAATTAAAATTGCCACCTAAGTGGGCAGAGGTGGTTAAATTTTTTTGTTTTTGTTTTTTTAACTTGATGTGCTGTTTTGAACTTTGGCTAATTTACTGTTTTTGAGCCTCTGCACCGGCCTGGTCTGCTACATAATAATTATTATTGATGCAGATATATGTATTGGAATGGAAAGCTAGTTAAAAACTCAAGTGTAGAATAGTATTATGCTGAGATCTCATTTTAATGTTAAAACTATATATCCATGCATATATTGATTTAAATGTAATATTTTACAGATAAAACTGCATAGATATAATCCCTTCCTGTCCTCTCAAAATAGATATTGATTCTTTTGAAGTCCTTCCAGGGATAAACAAATGAGATTGTATTTCTCCTTTAATTTGGGAATAATCTTTGATTCTTTATATGTTCCAAAGTCACAGATATTTCAGCTATTAAGTGTTCTTGTGAGAAGAACCAACGTTAAGGACAGAAACCTCTCAAGGTTTCAAGGTCAAACTGTTTCCTAATTGAGATCCTATCTAGGAATTTTTTAATTCCTAGAAAAAAAAAATAGTTAGAGAAATGTGTCCCAGGATCCAGACTGTCTTGGTGCTCTTCCTTCCCGAGCACATGCACATTTCCCACCACTCGTTTCTGGACCCATTAGTAATGCCAGAGTCACCTGGCATTGTGCAGCGCTGCCATTGGCGAGGAAGGACAGGGCCTGTGCCTTCTGGAGCTAAGACTAAAGGGGGGCTTTAGTCTTAGAAAAGACATCAGAAGATGGGCTTTGCTAAGACCAAAGTCATTATTTTGTAGATTATTATTATTTTTTTGCAGACCAAAATAACTGTTCTATTTGGAAGCTGCCAACCTTAATTTGTTCTTATAGCAAGAAGTCTCTTTACGTCTTTAGATGGATGTCATTAAATGGATTGTTCTCTCTTTCATTCATTTTAAGCCAAAATGTAAAACCTGTCTTTACCTCATTTTCCTGGGCACTCATGGGTTCCAGTTTATCTCATGGTAGCTCTTCCCTGAACAAGAAGATTGGCTGGGGGGCCACCAGGGAAGAGTGTGTGCTAAGCATGCTGGAGGTCCCGGGTTTGATCCCAGCTCTAGAACAGTAATAAGAATAGGCCACAGGTGCAGGTGTCAGTGGGGTGGGGAGGCGAGGCCTGTCCCTGGCAAACTGGCCACTGGCCCATGCTCCCTTCCTGGTGATAGCACCCAAAGAAGGTGAACTGGGATCCCCAAGTCCCCAAGCCCACACATTTTAGAAAACCTACTCATGACCAATGACATTTCAAATAGTTAAGGTAATTATGAAGGAAATACTGAGATTCTCTAGATGTGCATTTCCCAAATGATATTACTTTCATTCATTCATGTTTTCATTCATTATTTCTCAGCACTTATAAATGCTACCACCCTCCGCTTTGTACAGTGCCCCTCCGCACATGGGAAATGTGGAGTGGGTTTGGTACTGTATTTGAAAAACTGAAAATTTTATTTTCATTTTTGGAATTTCAAAACAAAAAAAGTCACAGAAAGCTCTGATTAACTTAACTGAAAGTCATATTCATGCCCACCTGGAATTACTTCTTCCCACTTAGTGAAGAAGGTAACTGTATGCATGTAGTTCTGTGATCTGAGTATTACACCTTGCATCATTTCTTCAAGAAAACATGCTTTCCCCTGGTGTGACTTACAGTGTGTACTCATCTGCCTTTTTATTCCTTGGCCTCCGTAAGACGGATACTATTCACCCGCACCTCTAAATTCAGCCATGAGGGGGAGATGCGTGGAGTAGCTCTCTGTGCCCAATGTCACAGCATTACCATGACTAGCAGCATGAACCATTTTTGGAACTTCCTGAGCCACATGATCTCCAGAAAGGGAGAATTCCCACAAATATGGATTTTTTCCATAAGATATTTAAGGGTTTCATAGGCTTCCTGAATCTCATACTTGGGCCTGGCTGGAGAATTACTGCTTCACAACCAAATTCTGAATCAAAGAAACCAAAAAGAATATTAGAAAGCAAATTGAAAATAAATCTTCCATAAAATAATCATAGGTCATTCCTATGCATAACAATATGCAATATGTCCAATTAAGTCATTAAATATTACAAATCAAAAAGCATGGGAGGAAAAAGAAAGTCTGGTTATAATTAAATCAAGTACACCCAAGATCACAAATATAAAACTATACAGATGATCAGATATAGTGAGTCAGGAGCTATTTAAATTCATTGATTGCTGTTTAACAAATGGTGTCAAAATATTTCCCAGGTTCTGAAATGGTTGATTGATATAGAATCTGCTAGAAAACCACAACCGTCCCCATTAGTTTTTAATGTACTTTGACTTGATTTTCAGCATAAAGAAAGGGAAGGAGAGAAAGGCCATTTTCCGGCATCAGCAGACTTGCCCTGTCGCACTGTCTGAGCCACACTCCCAGTCTCTACCTCAGCAGCCTTGAAACCTGCAAACAGTAACTAATCCACTCCACGCCAAATCCCCAGGATTTGTGGAGTGGAGCACCTGTGGAGACTGGTGCTCAGGCCCTGGCCTCGCCTTGTCAGTGTGGCCCTTCCACCTCCAAGGCTCCTGCTCTGATGTCCTGTTTTCAATGTGAGCACACAGTAGGTGGCCAGCGTGAAGCCTCACTGAGGAGTTCACATTTCCTTGGCTGGAGCCTCATGGTTTTCTTCCAATCCAGATGTAAAACCACAAGCTCGACTCTGAACAGCTGACTTGTCAGATCTGGTACCACCCACCTTCCCAGAGCTAAAGCATTACCTTAAATCCCTGCAAGTCACGTTAACAACATTCTGACAAGCGTCCCCCAGTATGCAGGGGGCAGCATCATCTGAAACCCCCTGGGAGCCTGCTGTGTGCCTGCAGGTGGAGACCCTGCTTTGCCCTGCACAATGCTGTCCCGTTGGGCACCAGGGATGAATGTAGCAGTGGCCTCCACCCAGGCCCAGGCACAATCCAGAATAAAAACTAGCAAAACAAATCATTAGGCTTCCTGGACCTGGTGTTGCTGGAACTCCTTTGTTGGTTTCTTTGTAGCATTTGATTTTATTTTGATGTTGGTTGGTGTCCAGGTGGATATAAAGCCAACATCTCTTACACCCAAGGCGTTTAGTTTGGCTGAACTGAATGTCACTCAGAAAACAGGGTGGAAAATTCAGTTGGTTATGTCGTTCCTGAGCTTCTCTTTCTCATTTTGGAGACTGCATTTTTTTTAAAAAAATAAGAATCTTCTATGCAAATTGTATGAGCAGTTATTTCTACTCATGCAATTAGATTAATCAATCCTCTCAAATAACTCAGGATAACGATTCCAAATAAAATATATTTTCTTTGATTTTAAGAACAACTCCATTGCCAAGTTTTCATTATGTAAATTATGCTCTTTGAAAGAACTGTTGGGACTTGTCTTTGTTCCGTTTCCCTGTCCCACCAGAGAGTGCCCCTGGGACTTCCTTACCACCAACGTGTTTTTAACTGGGGTCTCCTGTGATTCGTGTCTGCCAGGCAGGTCCTCCCTGCCTGGGTGGTTGGTGCTGGTGTCCATGTGGTCACTGCATGGCCGTGCGTGGGCCAGTGAGCCGGGTGGACCTGGAGCACACTGGCGTGTTAACTCTGTGTTTCTGTGACTGTTTGCGCTGCTAGCTGCTACACTGAAGCCACCATGCTGTTCTCAAGGCAGTCCACCCTTGATGATTTAGACGGACCAGACGCTGTTCCTAAAACGAGCGAGCGCGCTCGGCCTAGGCTCCGTAAAATGCTCAGCATGGACATGTCCTCCTCGTCAGCTGACAGTGGCAGTTTAGCATCCAGGTGCTCACCTCGTGCATGCTTCCTCCCGGTCTGTCACCTCCCCCGTGCGTGGCCCCGAGTCCTCGGATGCACCTCGTCTTTCTTTTAAGAACTTGCATGTCTCACAGAGCATGGCCCCGGCCCTCAGAGGCAGCCTGGTCCCAGGACAGCTTTCCATGATGCTCACTGCTCCTTGGTTTTTGTCTGTTAGGAATTTCTTAACGTTCCTGATTGCCAACATTATCTTGCATTTTTTAAGCATTTCACACTTTCCATTTCCAAAGACATAATCATATTCCCTACATTCGATTTAGAGCTTTTATATACGGTCCTCATGGAGTAGGAAGAAAACATTTGTCTCATGATTAAAAAAAAATACATACAGCAGGAAAAAAATATGAAAACTCTGGGATCTATGGTCATTCTAAGTTGATACAGAATAAATCTGTTTTATTTGCATAACTGACATAAAAGTCAGAATACATCTTACCATTGGCTTTGGGAAAGAATGTGATTATGCTGTAAAATATATCACCTTTGTAGATTATAATTTGTTTTATTTGGAAAAAACTACTCCTGGCTTGTTTCATCACTAAGTCCTGCCCTTAAAACAATAATCATTGAGGAATGAAATTATCTGCATGCACCCAGAACTCCTTCTTTGAAATGCCTTAAGTGGTCGGCAGGGAGATCAGCCACTGTTTATCCTGAGATGAACATAACCCAATTCAAAATGAACTTCACCCTGGCAACTTGTGGGGCAAATCAGAGAGGCGCCACCTTTTTCTGCAGCCCTGTATTTTGACACAGTGCAGCAGGGAGCAGGGCCTGGCGTTGACAGCAATGCCTTCCTGCTTGGACATATCTGCAGATGCAAGTTCTGTGGGCCTTCCACTCCCTTGAGACCTGGAGTGCCCTCAGCCCCTCGGGCCCAGACATGACCCCAGACTACTGTGCTTCCACTGGTTTACAGTCACACTGCAGATGAGACCTGGGTGAGGGGTCAATGTCATGGCCTTCCTAGGAGGCTGTATCTAACTGAGGTAAGTCTTAGCAAAAATCCTGTGGGCCTGACAGTCCAGGAACCTTCTACCTGATGCGGTCCTTTAAGGCCAGAGCCCTGGGGGCCTGAACACCTGAGCAGACTTTGGGGTTCTTGGGTCACAGGATGCCAGGAAGGGCTGTGCCAGGACCATTCGTCACTCGTGGACACATCTAAACAGATAGTCTTTGCATTTGAGCTCCTCAGCGTTGGAGGAAGCAGCCTGCCCTCGCATGGCGGTCAGTTAGGGTACGTCTCTAGAGCAGGAAGGAGCACATCCTCCAGGCTCCAAATATCCAGACAAGTGCGGCCCCTCTGGCAGCTGCCCATGTCGGGGAAGGCAGTCATGGAAGGCGTGCCACTCACGTGGTGGGTATGGCTGCTCTCCTTCCATTTCTAACCTCCCTGCACACACCTACGGGGAGTTAGGGCAGAAGGCTCTAAGAGGAAAGTGCAGGGCAGCAAAAGGAGGGACTGACGCTGTGACTAGAGCAGCTTCTGAAAAGGATAGGAGAGGAGGAGCTGGTAGGAGAAGGAAACTGGGGTGCTGGAGGGAGAGCAGGAGCACGCCCTGGGCACAGCAGACGGCTGGGAGGGAGATCACTGTGGCAAGAGAAGATGGCAGACGTCAGAACAGGAGCTCAGTGAGAAAGGGCTGTGGGCTGCAGGCTGGTGGACGTTTAGTGGAATGAGCTGCGCACTGCTAAGGGAAAGGCACGTGAGCGGGAAAAGAGGAGGAAAAGCCAATACCAGAGAAGGGTGACTTTTTTTAGTTCAGCCAATATTTATCAAGTCATCCTCCTTGGATCTGGGTGGGTCCCTTTCGTAGGACTGAGTAGAACGCATCTTGGTCCAAACCCACACAACAAAACCGGCATGGCTTCTCCTCCCCACACACGCTTCTGCTCGACTTCAAAGACGCTGACGGTAGGTGTGCCGAGCAGTCTTGATTTGGAGGTATGCACCAGAGCTTGTGCCTCTGATTCTCCGTGCTGTTTCAGAACCTGTGCGTAGGTGGGTTTTGCTCCCCGAGGGCCGTGTGACGTGCTTCTGCTTCTGAACGACGTGTGTGCCCACATCCTCCTTGGCATCCAGAGACCCCTGTACATCGGATCAGGAGCCAGGGTCCTGGGGAAGTGAGCAGGGGGAATCAGGGAGGCGGGGTCTGAGCTGCTCACGTGCCTTGATGCTTTTGCTTGGGCGTTCTGAGGTGTCTTGAGCACGTGGAGAGATCCTGAGGGGGGTGGGTGCTCAGGCAGGGTTCTGCGCCCATCCCTGTCTCCTGACAGTGAGCCCACGCAGTGCACCATGCTCTACTCACGCCAGGGGACCACGGAAACCATAGAGGAAGTGGAGGCCGAGGCAGAGGAGGAGGTGGTAGGCCCTGTGCCCGAGCTCGAACTCCAGCTTGGGGACACCCAGGAGGAGGAGGAAGAAGAGGAGGAGGAAGCTGAGTGTGATCTGGGCCCCGAGGAGGCCGGCCTCACTCCTGAGGAGGAGTGTCCGCAGTTCTCCACCGATGAGGGTGACGTGGAGGCCCCGCCGTCCTACAGCAAAGCTGTGAGCTTCGAGCACCTGTCCTTCGGCTCACAGGATGACTCTGGGGGCCAGAACCACATGATGGTCAGCCCTGATGACAGCCGCACCGACAAGCTGGAGTCCAGCATCCTGCCGCCCCTGACCCATGAGCTGACGGCCAGCGAGCTGCTGCTGAACAAGTAAGGGCAGCCCAGGCCCAGGCCAGCTCCACACCTGCTTAGCTGGGTGTGGAGGAAAGCTCTCCTAGACCCCGAGAACCAGTGCACATGCCAGGAGCCCTGCACCTCGTCCTCCACAAACACCTCCCAGAGACGTTCCCCACTGCGGAAAGCCTACTGCAGGCTGAGCACCCCTCGCCAATCCAGCATGCTCTGAAATCTACAACTTCTGAGCACTGACATCACGTGGGAAGTGCTCGATTTCGTGCCATGAAACTTTGTTTCCGGCACAGAAATTATTTAAAATATTGTATAAAATTACCTGCAGACTATATGGATAAGACGTTATATGACACAGAAGTAAATTTCATATTTAGAATTGGGTTCCAACCTTACAATATCTCATTTTGTATGTAGATATTCCAAAATCTGAAAAAACTCAGAATCCAAAACATTTCCAATCCTGAGCTTTTTAAATACAGGATACTCAACCTATGTTAGGTTTTCTTCCCCAAACAGAATATAGGCCCCAGGAAGCTGGGTGGGGGGCGCTGCAGGAAGGATCCTGTTCAATGAACTTAAGTGTTTTGGAGAAAGGGGAGGCAGATGGGAGCACGTGGTTTGTTTTAACAGGATGTTCCATGACGATGAGCTGGAAGAGTCCGAGAGGTTCTACGTGGGCCAGCCCCGGTTCCTGCTGCTCTTCTACGCCATGTACAACACTCTGGTGGCCCGCTCAGAAATGGTGTGCTACTTCGTGATCATCCTCAATCACATGGTCTCTGCCTCCATGATCACCCTCTTGCTGCCCATTCTGATCTTTCTCTGGGCCATGCTGTCGGTGCCCCGGCCCAGCCGACGGTTCTGGATGATGGCCATTGTCTACACCGAGGTAGGTCGGTCAGTGCCAGGGACCTTCTCAGGTCACAATGATGGTCACTGACAGTTACCTAGCACTGGCAGGGCTGCGTGTCTTTCCACTCCTCACACAAGGAAGGTGCTGGTGTCCTTCCCCTTAGCAGACGAGGAAACAGCGTGGGCAAGACTGAGCAGTGGGGCCACCGTACCCACTGGAGAGAGCCAGGGAGGCTCTTGGAGCTGGTTCCAGACCTGTGGCATTAACCACTCACACAGCAGAACCAAGCTGAGTGCCTGCTGCCGGCTGGTGCCCAGGGACACTGGCCACCGCTGGGCAGCGAGACAGAGTGGCTCTGGCTGGATGTAGCATGTGCCGCCCCCATTTTCATACCCAAAGTCAATCTCCACACACCCCGCAGAACCCTCTGAGCACACGGCAGTCAGAAGGGCCGAGAGGGTGAGCTGCCAGCATACTCTCCTTCTGCGTGAGGGACAAGAGGCCATCTGCCCAATCAGTTGTCCAATTCCTGTCCTGCCCCATTCTGTAAATACAGAGGCCACAGGGAAGATGTCAGAACGCCTCGTGCCCCACGTCCTCGTGTTCTTGGGTTTGTGAAGAAGGTTGGTTTTCCTCCCTGACTCTCACTTCCAGTAGCCCTGGAACTGCTTCTTCAAGTGTGGGCAGAGCTTGGACACTCTGTGTCTGTCCAAGTGTAGGCTAACAAGTAATCAGCCATCAAATTAAAACAAGGTCATATAGTAAGACATCTAATTTAGTCAGCTTTTCCTTGCTGTGACCAAAAAAAAAAAAAAAAACTGGCAAGAACAATGTAGAGGAGGAAAAGTTCCTTTGGGCTCATGGTTTCAAAGGTTTAGGTCCTGGCTGGCTGGCTCCATGGCTCTGGGCCCGAGGTGACACAGAGCATCATGGAGGAGGGTGTGGTGGGAAGAGCAGCTCAGGACACGAGAGAGGAGGAAGAGAGCTCTGCTCCCCAGGGACGCAAAACATGAGCCCCAAAGGCACGTCCCCAGAGACCTACCTCCTCTAGCCACACCGCACCTGCCTGCTGTCACCACCCAGTTAATCTATGGAGGGAGTACGCCACTGTGCAGGTCGCAGCTCTCGTGATCTGATCATTTTACCTCCTAACAGACTTGCCTTGTCTCACCCGTGAACTCTTGGGGGACACCTCCTATCTAACCCTAACAACATCTCAGAAGTATCCAGTTTAGAGCATTGTTAACCCAAGTCCTAATTCCTTAAGAATGCAGAGACGGGTACACCCCGCGACTTTGACTAACCTGTGTGCCACAGCCTTGCTTCATTCTCGAACGCTCACCAGGCTTCTCAGGGAGGGATCACCTCTGACCATTCACCCTGAGGGCGTCTGTCAGACCCCGGTCTCACCCCAGGAGCTACTTGTGATGTGGGACTGTCCGTTTTCTGTCACACTGAGGAGTGACATGAATGGGAAATGAAGCTGATGCCC